CGTCGGCGCGGGCGGCGGCAACAAGCCGAGCTCGGCATCCTCCGAGTCGAGACCGACGAAGGCCATGTGGTCGATCCACCAGTCGTACGTGAACCTCGAGCGCGACCGGAAGCGCGCGGGCGCCTGCGGCGGCGGCAGCGGCCGCAGCGGCTCTTCCGTAGCTTGTCGCTCCACTTGCTCTTCGTGCGAAGGTGCGCTCGGCACATTGGCCCCTGCGGGCGCAGCGACGTCCGCCACGACTCCGGCGCCTTGATTCTCGCCTCCCGCAGGCGGGTTCGGATTGCCAGCAGCAGCGTCCCCGGCGTCAGCGAGGGGGGGACGTGGTGGCCCTTGTCGAGGCTGCATCCTCTGCCGCGCGCGCTCGCGGCGCTGAACGATGCGGAAACTCTCGAACACGACGTACACCGCAGCCATGCCGATCACAAAGTATCGCTTCACCGTGTCTGCACCCGGCAGCATGACCGAGAGTAGGAGGCCGACCTTGAGGCCGATGAAAAACATCGGCACCAGTACCGCCGTTACGTCTGCAAGCGTGACGTTGCGCAGTCCGACGATCCAATCTCGCACTGCGCTCGTCGCATGGGCGATGCGACCGCGCTGCTGAGGTGCCGTGAGACGTGCTGCGTCCGCGTCGCTTGCGCGGTTGGAAGCGCCGGCCCTGCCGACGAGAGGAGCCGACGAGGCGGTTCCGAAGAGGCTGCCGAGCCTGATGATGTTGTCGATCTTGTCGATCATGGAGCGGAGGATGGTGACGCGTTCGAGCAGCGTGTTGAGCGCCTCGCTTCGCTCCACGTCGATGGGCTGGCTCGAGATGCGCAGAAGATACGGCAAACCGCGGTGCGAGACCTGCTGGTAGAGATATTGCATCTCGCGTTGCGATTCCGAGGTCGAGCCTGCACTGCTGTCTGCACTGGGCAGCGCAACGGGGTCCCACCCGAGCAGGGTGATCTCGACATCGGTCAGGAGCTCGCTCGGGGCCGAGGGCTCGCACGCTGCTGAAGAATCATCTGGCCGGCCGGACGCAAGCTTTTGTGCAGCCACAGCCTGGTTGTAGATGGCTTCGTACATGAGGATGTACTCGTCGCATGCTGTTTCGAGGACTTGGACGAGCAGAGGCCAGTTTTGGGGTGCGGTGACGCGGAGGGTCTGCTCGAGAACGGCGTGAGCGTCGGCCGACGCCTGACTTGCTCGCGTGGTCGCTGGCATGGCTGGAGGGCGTGATGTGAATGACGAAGCGCCATCTGTCTGAAGGCGAGAGGGACCCTTTTGAGATGCGGCTGAGCTTGAGCTTGGCAGAGGAGGTGGGTCGGAAAAGTACGGCTCAAACTGTGAAATGGGGCACGAGGGGGCCTGAGTGGATGCGGCCACGTGTAGCGATGAAGCGTTGACGTCGGCGTGGTGGGTCAGGGGAAC